AAAAGCGTTTTCAAAATCAAGGGAAATTTTTTGAAAAACAATAAAGCCATTTTCATTAAAAAATGTTTGTTATTATTTGCTATTCCCGAAATATAAGTAGTACCCACCCCTCGTATGGTGATACCTATTAAAATCAACCTCCCTTGCCTCCCTCAAAAGGGGCTAGCTAGAAATCAACGAGGTCTTGCCTTTTACCGTGCGATTCCTAGCACAGGAGTCATCAATTAGATTTTAGAAGGAATTCAAGTTTTCAACATTAAAAAATTATAGGAGATGGCTCAGAGGGTATGTTACGTTACATTTTCAATCAAAAGATAGAAGATAGCCTTTCAATTGTTTGCTTTTCATTCCTCAGCATCAAATCAGAAAAACTCGCACGGTTTTCATTTTCGAAAAACTACCGAAACCCACGACAATGATCTGTTTTAAACTCTGGGCATTCTTCTGTAAAATAATTTGTGGTGAACCCTTGTTTCAATAAAGTATAATTTTATTTTCAACTGACAGTTCTGACTTCACCGCCACATTTATATAATGAAATAATGCACAGCACCTAATTCGTAGAACAGTGTTTCATTTGCACTCCAAAAACGTGTTAAACGAAATTTTCGAAGAGAGATAAATTCAGAACGATTTCCTTTCGAAGCATACATCTCTGTCTGAATACAGGGAAATTTATAAATGATTGTTTACTTACTCCTTGGAGGCCTTGAAAAAGTCTGCAGTCAATTATGTATTTAGATTAATGCCTCGTATGTTTAAATAATACTACTGGAGTTTTTTGCCAACACCAAATCGTTATTTTCAACACTTTGACATGTGTTTCGATCACCAAGTGATCATCTTCAAGAGGAAGATTAAACTAGAAACTAACGCGAAGCTAACGCTATTTATGCTATATAGATATACCATACAATAAAATATGGAAGACCTGAAAAATCAGCAATCCCCCATCATATATTGCAACATAGACTTCAGTTCATTAAGATTAGTTAGACAAGTTAACAACAATAGGCAACTAGATGCCTATGAGTGTGGAAATAAGTAAACACAATAATATTATGAATAACGATGACGGACCTATACCAAAGAGCATACTATATACCTTGTTAAAGTAATATTGTTGGGTTTACTGATTATTACATAAGGACACATGGCAGAAATAAATTTATATAGGCAATATTGTGAAATTTATTTTTATATAGCTGTTTTATACACACATCGGAAAAGTCTAGGGATATTTTTATAACATACTAAATATCATAAAAATAAATGCATGAGGTCGTTTAATTTCGATTAAATTGGTACATTCGACCACCCTGTAGATTTCTATGGGTTGAACAAAGCCTGCAAAAACGGTAACTAATCTTTTATCAAGTTTTTTACAAACTGTAGGTTTTCGGCTAAAATGAATAATCTGAAAGTGTCGAGTTTGTACATTCTATGCAGTTCTTGCTCAGCAATTAAACTGGAAATATTGTGCTTCAACATGGAACGCCATCACTTACCATTGGCTGAGATGAATAGAGCTGTAGGGCTTCTTCAAGGTGGCATGCGACAAAATGATGTAGCTCTTCGTTTGGGGGTCTCCCAAAGTGTTATCAGTCGATTGTGGCGGCGTTTCCGTGAAACTGGCAGTCCAGCCGAACAACATCCAGGGCGAGGACGCGCTACAACTGCAGTTCAAGACCGATTTTTGGTCTTAACCGCAAGAAGACAACCGACAATAACAGCACCTGAGTTGGTTAACGTGTTGCAGCAGACGCACCAGGTAACCATTGGTCGTGATACTGTCAGAAATCGACTGCATGAAGCAGATCTCCACAACAGAAGGCCACTTAGATGTCCACCTTTGTCGGGAGGCAATCGCGGTGGAAGATTAGAGTGGTGTCAAGAACATCAAAACTGGGATGCAAATGATTGGGCCACAGTTTTGTTTACAGACGAATCCAGATTTGGATTTCATTCAGGTTCTCGTCGAGTTAGACTGTGGAGACGACCTGGAAATAATGAACGTTTGAGACACGTCCAGGAAGTCCACACATACAGAGGTGATACAGTAATGCTATGGGGCGGAATCATGATCGGCGGCAGAACCGATCTCGTTTTTTCAAATCGCTCCCTCACAGCTCGACAGTACCTCGACACCATTCTTCTGCCTATCGTCCGTCCGTTTGCTGGTGCTGTTGGTGAAAACTTCCACCTAATGCACGATAATGCTCGTCCACATGTCGCGCGTCTAGTGACTGACTGGCTCACCAACGAAGGAGTTGATGTATTGCCATGGCCAGCACAATCACCGGACCTGAATCCCATCGAGCATGTGTGGGACATGCTTCAATGAAGAATTACTCCGCATATGGGGAACATTCACACAACGTTTTAATTGAAAGAGCTTTTAATCGCTGAATGGGCAAATGTACCTCAACAAGACATTGACAATCTCATTTTGTCGATGCACGATAGATGTAGGGCCGTAATAAACCAGCGTGGAGGCCATACTTTGTACTGATTCCAATTTTTTTTTGTATTATGATTTTTTTTCGGGGTGCCAAAAAAGAGCCATATTTTTTTTTTAGTTTTGCTTATATGCGCACTCAGTATTTTTGACCATTTAATAAATTTTGTTGTAAGTTACATTCGTTTAATAATCACCCGTCAACTTTTTTTCCCTAAAGCGATCTAAAAAAAAATTATTGCCATTTTTAAAAATATCCCTAGACTTTTCCGATGTGTGTATATAGCTATAACATTTAAACATATATTGTAAAATAATAGAAAAGGCAAAATTGTAAAATTAATTTAGGGTGGCATACCTGTATGGGTGGTACACTTGTATGGTTTACCTGTATGGTATATCTATATAGCATAAATAGCGTTAGCTTCGCGTTAGTCTCTAGTTTAATCTTCCTCTTGAAGGTGACCACTTGGTGATCGAAACAGTGTCGAGGTGTTAAAAATAACGATTTGGTGTTGGCAAAAAACTCCAGTAATATTCATTACTACACCAAAGGTCCCAAACAGTGCATCATAAGCCTCGTATGTTTGTTAGTTTTTAGTGCTGGTCTTGGTTTTAATTGTTTCATTTAGCAATCAGTTTTCAAGTTGCTTTTTATTTTATATATTTGTACTAATTTTGTAAGCGATTTTGAATTGAAGTATATTTTTATACAATACATGTATATCTCTGCTGCAGGCAACCAGTGATGCAATTGAACCCAGGTTTGTGTTTAATAAACCCTACGAAATAAAAATAAAACAGAACACGAGTCAGAAGCTACAAATGCAATACGGATTTATACAGACGGCTCAAAAACCAAAGAAAGCTCAGGATGTGGAGTATACTCCAGATCACTAAGCCTAAGAATTAAGTGGGGAATGAGAAGAAATACCAGCGTGGTCCAAACAGAACTGGCTGGTATCTCAATCGCCACAAAAGAAATAACCAGGAAAGGAATTTCTGGCAAAAACATAACAATCTGCACTGACAGCAGACAAGCCCTATTAGCCTTTAACAGACAACGTGTAACCACAGGGCTAGTACTAGAGTGCCACCAAGATTTAGCCAAAGCCTCGGTAGATAAAAACATTATCCTGAGGTAGGTTAAAGGGCACAACAGGAGTGAAGGTAATCGCATTGCCGACTCTTTAGCCAAGGAAGCGGCTGGACTAAGAATTTTAGGACCCAGTGGCACCTACGGCCTGATGACTAGCGGAACTAGCCAAACGTCACACCCATACTCAATCCCTAGTAACCAAATAGTAACTTTTTCGGAATGCATTGGACGCTTTTAGATCTCATGTGGACTGGTATCGCCCCAAATTCGCCAATTTTGTTTGTTAACGTACCCTCATCCAGAAATGGGCCTCACCTACGGCCTGATGACTTTGACCATTGCGGAACTGGCCAAACGTCACACCCATATTCAATCCCTAAAGAGATGGGATGGAATCAAAGGATGCAATCTTGCCAGGATCACCTTGGGCGACCCTGGGAAGCAGGCGCCGAAGAAATATCTGGCGATGACCAGCAAAAATCTACGCTTAACAGTAGGATTTCTGACTGGCCACCGTCAACTAAGGAAACACCTCCATAGTATGGGGCTAGTGAACACACCTCTATGCAGGATGTGTCAACAGGAAGATGAGACTGTAAGGCATGTCCTACGCGAGTGCCCGAAGTTAACGTCAATAAGAGAGTGTGTGTTCGGCGAGTCTTGGCCTACACCTTCTGATATAAAGGAGATGTCTCCCAGCGACCTGTCCACCTTTCTGGAAAGGACAGGATGGACGATGACCTAGGAGGACAACTCCTCGGGAGGATGTACAATAGGTCATACGCGACCTAAAGTGCTGTGGGCTTATAACAGTGTTTCTCAAACTTTTCGAATTCACGGCTCCCTTATGTTTTTTGAAAGTTCTCGCGGCGCCCCGAACGTAAAGACTACACTAGATATTTAATTAATAAAAGTAGGTAGGTGGCTGTCTGAACGGATTGCATTTTGTAATTAACGATACTATCATATTATCAGAGGATTTTTATTAATAGGTATTACTCTCAGTTATCTATGTTGTAAAACGTTGTACCTTGAGACTCCCCGTGACCCACGGCGCCCCAGTAAAGGTTCCACGACGCCCCAGGGCGCCGCGGCGCACACATTGAGAAACACTGGCTTACACTCACCCTCCCTCCTGTACAGATACAGATATACATGTATATTTTGCAATGTTGTAACTTAGTAACTGAATAAAATAAATTATGATTAGTAGGTAGGCTCCACGACGTGCAACGAAGGATGAAAAACCAAATTTTTAGAAACACCCATTAATTAAGAAAGTGGTAGTTCAAAAACAATACTTCAAATGGATCAGTTGAGGCAGAGAAACAGATTTTTCAGAATTATTGATCGTACACATTCTCAAATTTCCCTGCGTTCGAGAACAGTGAATCAAATAGCAAACAAAGCACTGTTCCACGTACAAACAATGAATAACCCGTCTAATTAAAAAAAAAGTATATTACAATGTACAACTATGTACATATTGTCGTAATATTTTCCATTTTTTTAAGTCTATGTCACTAGTCGTGAAAAAATAATAAACACTCGAGGCAGCAATCAATGTTTGGAGAGAGAGTGCCCCGAGTGCTTTCCCTAACTGCTCGTGCTGGCCATCGGGCTGACAGGGGACAATGGGGTGCAGACGTTGTCCCGAAGGCAACCGTTCATGGTGATGAGCAGCTTCCGAGAGCCCGCGTGGTCTCGGTGTTCGCACAGCCAGATCCCTTGCCATGTGCCCAGGTTCAGCTTACCTTCCGTTATCGGGATCGACAGGGACGATCCCAGAAAGCACGCCTTCACGTGTGCGGGCTGGAAAATATATAGTATGCAGTCCACCCGAACGTTTGCTATTACTGTTATTATTAGATTTCAAGGCCTGGTGGAGAGAAGTTACGTAATTAAGTATCTGAAATGAAGCAAGATATCGCAAATCATCCAAGCAGATTTCATGATAGAGAGGTACTATGAGAGATCTGAAAAAAATATATCAAAATAATGAAGACTGTATACAATAAAAAAATCATTTCGAAAACTTGGTCTACCCTACTATTAGTCTAATCAACAAGTTCAAAAACATGAAAAATAGAGATAAAGGTCCTAAAAATATGAGCGATAGCTCATTCGATTCAGAATCACCTCTAAAAAAATGTTTTTGAAGGATTTTGGTGCAGGTAAAAAATTGCAATTGTTATTAACAAAATAAGATTTGAAAAAATGGTATTTAGTTTTTCATTAATAACTCAAAAAATATTAATATTTAAGCAATTTTGAAAAAAACTCGTTGAAGAGGAGGAAATTTTCGATAAAAAAGTCCCGACTCCCGAAACTCTATCTCCAAAGTTCGAGGCTCACTTGAGAATTTTGAAAATCTTCCGCATCTTTCCCTCCTCCCAGCTGATCGCTTGATTAAGTTTTTCTTCGAGAAGTTTTTAAATCTGCTCAACAGGTAAAGTGCCATCGATTTTTTCTTAACAAATGTCTTCGCAATCTCTCCTCCCTTGCTTTCGGCTGAAGGAAAACTTGTTGATTATGATTTAGGGGGGTTGTAGTTTGGCCAGGGGTTGTATGCTCCAGTTTGTGTATCCAATAAATCCGAGGATTTCTGGAGCAGCAATTCGTTTACTGATATATTCGCAATACTTTCTTGTTTGAAAAACAAAATTGCAAAATTTTTATTGCTGCTGCTGTATTTGTTTTTTGTTGAGTTCATTATAAATGTCCTTGACACAGTTTAGAGCCTGGATACGTTTACTTGTCCTACTACCCTTTTCATCAGTGACAGCTACAGAAAGTTTGATTAGGGTATGTTACATTAACGAGTAATATGTTGTCAATTCGAAGAGCTAAACAGCTGGCATTACTTTTTACTACTAGTTAAAAACACATCGTGTAGGTTTATGAAAAATAAAATCAATTTTGAAAAAAATATACCACGCCGCCTATGCTATACAAAGGAACTGCCGACATTCGGTAACTATTTAGTGTTTATAGCCATTCGAGTTGACTTCGTATATACTATACTCGGGATTAGGATTGTAGGTATATAGAAATGCGTAATTGACAATTGGGACACAAGTCGGAGGTCATTCCCAGATTGTCGTGATTTTCATTGTCAACCAGAGGTCCGCTACACTCCGCATATATCTATTTTTAGTCTAACCAACAAGTTCAAAAACATGAAAAATAGAGATAAAGGTCCTAAAAATATGAGCGATAGCTCATTCGATTCGGAATCACCTCTAGAAAAATGCTTTTGAAGGATTTTGGTGCAGGTAAAAAATTGCAATTGTTATTAACAAAATAATATTAAAAAAAATGGTATTTAGTTTTTCGTTAATAACTCAAAAAATATTAATATTTGAGCAATTTTGAAAAAAGCTCGTTAAAGAGGAGGAAATATCCGATAAAAAAGTTCCGACTCCCGAAACTCTATCTCCATTATTTATAATTTTAATTTGACGTTGAAAATACGGTTTCTGCGCGGCTGTTATGGAATAAGCGTGCTGCCGCTAAAGAGAGTTTATCAAAATAAATACCTTTTTTATAACATAGAATGTCATTTTAAAAATTTGAAAAAAGTCTAGTATCTTCTTAACACTTGAATAAATCGAGTCCCGTAGAAAAAAAGTTTTATCACCATTTTTCAAAAAGTTATTCAATTGTTAACTAACAAATTTTTTCCCAATCTCCGTTGGCATAAATAATGGGATAAAAGGTATAAATAATCTCTTGAGAAGAGAAATACTATCAACAGTGAATATTCTTTAACGAAATTGGAGCGTTTGAAAGCCGAAATTGCGGGAAAACAACCTCATTAGAAGAAAAAAAAGTGCTGCTTCATCAAGACAGTGTACAGTGTCACAAATCAATGAAAACGATGACGAAATTGCATGAAACGGGCTTCAAATTTCTTCCACATCCACCATATTCGCCAGATTTGATTTCCAGCGACTACTGGCTGTTCCCAGACCTCAAAAAAAACTCACCAATAAGAAATTTCGCTCGAATAAAGAGGTTATTTCTGAAACTGAGGCCTATTTTGAGGCAAAAGATAAATAGTTTTACAAAAGTGGTGTTGAAATGTTAGAGCAGCACTAGAATGATTGTGTGGTTCTCAATGGAGATTACGTCGATGAATAAAGCCAATGTTGAACAAAAAAAAGGCTTTCTATCTTAGGCCCAGGACTTATTAGCCCAGGTGATTTTTGTAAAGCCTTTGATAATGTTAACCATAATCTGTTGGCACAGAAGTTCGTCATGCTAGGTTTTCCCAATTTCATTACTCACTGGATAAAAGATCATCTCGAAAACAGGTCACAAGTAGTCAAAATTATAAACTTTGAATCAGAACAAATCCTGGTACCTTCTGGAGTGCCTCAAGGCTCTCTTATTTTGAGAATCCTGCTGTTTACCCCCCCCCCCCCAAGCGGGAAAGAAACATGGCACGGCTTGATACAGTCTTCATTATTTCGATTTCTTTCAGAGTATCGGTACATAGGACATTTGTAGGACATTTTGAACAATCATTCGTTCATATTCTTTCACACTTTACTAAAATCTGACGAGATCTATAGTGAATCTTATCTTTTGTATTCAACTGATCCTTGGCAAAATTAGAAAACATTTTCATAATCTTGGTTCAGTGGCTTTACTTCAATGCCAAGTTTTGCGTGTTTCCGATTGTGAGAAGAAAAAAATTTCTAAAAAGATCAGTAAAAACAATGACTTCTCTAAAAAAAATGTTCAATATTAGACGAGGCACCCTGTTACATATAAACAAACACCATAATAAAAAAATAATTGAATATTATACTAAAAATATTTGGTTCAAATCAAATCAAAATATGCTTTATTGTCCGAAGATTTGCATCTTATTGACAAAGTCCAAGAAATATAATGTTAATATAGAAAAAGCACTAAAAAAGTATAAATGTAGATATAAAAAAGTACCAAAAATTTATAAATGTAAATATAAAAAAAGGTCTAAAAATATATAGATAAAATACGACCATGTATAAAGTGATAGTATAAATAATAAATTGCTAATATATTGTTAAAAGGATTCGCTAAAATACTCTTCCAAACTGTAATAGGGTCTGTCAACAAGTAGGTTCTTCACCGCCTTTTTGAAATGAATGTTGCTTAAATTTGCAGATCTCATTTCTAATGGTAAATGATTGAACAACTTACCACCATTATAGTATATGAAATCCTTGATTAAATTCAAAGTTGGGATGGGAAGTCTAAAGGTATAATTGCTATTTCGAGTAGCATAAGGAGTAGAAGCAAAGTTGAACTTCAATTTATGTTTATAAATAAGGCAAACAGTCTCTAAGATAAAAAGTGCGATGACTGTTAACATTTTATTGGCAGTGAACAAGTTCCTGCACAATTCTCTGGGTTTGACTTTACAGAGACACGTTAGTGACCTCTTCTGTAATATCAATACAGAAGAGAGAAGGGATGAGTTGTATGCTCCCCAAAAAGGTATTCCATAACGTAGTCGAGATTCAACAAGTGCATGGTAAACGGTCTTTGCGACATGAAAACCCAACTCATTTGAAACCACTCTAACTGCATAACATCCGGAGGAGATCTTACTCTTCAGTTGTTTAAGGTGTTCATCAAATTTCAGCCTATTATCAATGAATACATCGAGAAACTTTGTGTTTAATTTATTTTGTAATATGGCAGCAGCGTCTACTGAACTATCTTTATGAACTTGATAAAAAAACACGAATCCTTGTTCCGAATAAAATATTTGAGAAAAATGAAAACTCTCCTTATTTTTTGAAAAGAAAGCATATATCAAGGGCTAACTTAATAATTCAGTTTGAAATTATATAAACCTAACTTGAATCAACATAAACATAAGCTGATTAACTTTACCTAATGAAAACAAAAAAAAAATAGCACCAAACATATTATTGAAACCAATTGGAATGATGAGCAATATCTTGGACTTCGAAATCACACATGAAATATATCAACAGATTATTTTGTAACATCATACAAGACTGAAAACCTTCCAACTAGTATTCATCTCACACCAGTTGTTCCAGAGAACTTACCTTTTGCAACTTAGCTGAAAGAAAATGTGGACAAGTTCTTCCTCTATACTAATGTAAAATAATGATTTAATCATAACATGATTAACAAATTCTAATGGCTTCTAAAACATGTACAGTTTTTTCCCAGTTCCCTCCTGCCCAGAAAACAAATTGTTGCTTGAAAATCTCAAGTGTCTATCAACGAATGATAGTGTACCCCAAGGTCCAGTTCTAGGCCTACTCATCATTTATTATATTATAATGATTTACGGACTACTGAAATTTAGGGGAATTTTCTTCTATTTCAAATATCTGTAAATTTGAAAATATCATTCATTCATAACTAAATGAAGAATTATTATTTATTATGTATTATCTGTCTTGTTTCACTTAGACTCTGATACTTCAAACGCTGTACAATATGATAAACTATGTTCCATTCAAAGATAGAAGAGGGCAAAAATTAGTTACTTCTACTCAAATTGTTGAGATGACAGACATTTTTGTGAAGAAGGTGAATATTCGTTTTTCTGATTCCCAATTTTTATTCCCTGATCATAAATCTGAAATTAAAAATTGGTTGTCCGGTCAATTTTTGGAGATACAGGCTATGAACTCACTTTTGGTAATGAAAACTTGTGAAATGACACTATTAGTAATTTTACACTTAAAATTATTGTTAATTCAGATGTCCCTTTGGATGTTTTACTTGGTTTTGTTGGCACTGTGACAAAATAAAACCATAAACTCTACTGGAATTAGATATATAAATAGCAAAAGATCACCAGATGACTTCTCGATACTATATATTACGGTGGCGTGATAGGAACATAGTGGAACATATGGTATATAGGAAATCTTAAACCAAGAGACTCCTGTAGAACCTTTTTCAAAAAACATAATATTCTAACGGTAACTGCATTATTTATACTGGAATATGTGTGTTTAATAAATAACCATATATTAAATTTTGCTGCATCCTCTTTCCATTATAACACCTGAAACTGCAGACACACTCTGCCAACTAAAAACATTACCAGAGACTCCATATTTACAACAGTGGAGAAATGTACAATCATTTGCCTATGGACATAAGACCTGCCAATATAAATGACTTCCAATTCAGGAAGTTAGTCAAACAATTTCTATCTGATAAACCCTATTATACTTTGGATGAATATTTTAACGATAGCTTTTAACTGACTTGAGTATATTTTTTATCTTTACTTATTAAGGAGCTCCTAAGTTGTTACTTTTTATGTGTACTCTTTTATAAACATAAATACTCTTTTATATACATATCTTTTATATCCTACATTTCAACATAGTTTGTACCCATGCACCATTTTTATTTTTATTTCGTTTGGTATGTATTGCATTTTTTTAAGTATTTACTACCCAAGCTTTGTCTACAAGATTTATATCTTATGATAATAAAGCATCATATTATTATTATAACAGATTGCAAATTGTTTTGCAAATCATTTCTCAATAGAATATTCAAGAAGAACCTCAGATATTAAGCCCCATTTATTGTAGATTATGATCTACCCAATTTTGCAATGTCTATTGAAAAAGTTTTTGACAAAATATTATCCTTAACAGATAAGTTTAGCGGTGGCCCCGATCAAATTCACAATGCTTTCTAAAAATAGCGTCTATTCATTAACATATCCAATATAGCTCCTTTTCAAATGTTCTTTAGGTACAGGGATCGTCCCTGACGTATGAAAACAGCTACATTTGTCCAATTTTTAAATCAGGAAATGAACAAAACATAAAGAACTACCGTAGTATATGTAACCAAGTTTCCCTTCCTAAACTACTGGACAGCTTGACTATTGAGCATTTGAAATGTTCTTGTAAAGAACGTTTCATAAATAATCAACATGGTTTTCCTCCGAAAAAGTCTACAGTTAACAAACTATTGGTGTTTGAGCAAAATAATATAGAGGTTCTGGAGAAAAAAGGCCAGATGGATGCCATTTATTCATACTTCTGCAAGGCATTTGACCGTGTGAATTACAACATATTACATTAAATGAAATTATGTGGTTTCACAGATATGTCTCTATCATGGTTTGAAAGCTTCTTAACTGGCCGATCTTAGCAAGTTAGGGTAGGAAATGCTTCGTCAACTATCATTCATATAACATCGGCAGTTACAGATGTTTCGAAAATTCAAACTTTCTAATAATCGCAGGTGATCTTGAAATGTTCAGACGACGTTACTTTGTTACAACATAATTTAAATAGCTTGGATAGGTGGTGTATTGAAAACAACCTACACATAAGCATTAAAAAAAATAGTTTTATCAGCTTTTACAAAGTGAATACCAAATTTCACACCTCATACTCCCTGAATAGTAATCCACTAACAAGTGTCACTTCAATGAAGGAACTAGGAGTTATCTTTGGAGAGCAATTGCAGTTTGTAGATCATATACATCATATCTTGCCTTAATAATCTCCCGCCTAGAATATGGCTCGATTATTTATTCATCAGCACTCAAAAAGGCACATGTTTTTTGTTCAATCAATCATTTTACAAAAATGATAAATATTTTTGATTTTTTTTCTACTTTTGTATGTTTTGATGTTTCAAATTTTGACACATCGAGCTCAAAAGGTTCACCATCGTCATGACCTAGGAAAAGCTGAGTAAATTTTTTGGCAACATCATTTTCAACCTCATTTAATTCTGCCAACAGATATATAATGTAGAACATAATTCAAAAAAGGGATTATTTGGTAAAACAGAAGTTTTTTATTGTATGAAAACATTGAAATGGATTGTTGAAGATCCACAGTATGTAATCGTGATAACAAGGTGTCATTTTACAAATTTCTATCAACAAAAGTGGCCAGAAAAACAAAGAATATTATGCAAATAGATTGAGCGCCAAAATGACTGTCCTGGTTATTAGTGTCAAGTTCTAAAGGAATTGACAAGACATACAAGCATAACGCCTAGGATTTTTATGAAAACTATACTCGAAACTTTTATATAAACTTGGCATATCATTTTGCTACGACAAATATATTACCATATCGTCTGGACCCTCACAGGAATGCCTATATGGCAATCCTTCTGGAACAATTTTGTTCAGCATCATTTCCATGTCATCTCGAACATCTGGATCCCAACTCTCGTTCAAAGCTAAACTGGCACTGGTGTGCAAAACTGAAAACATAAAAAAACCACCTTGAAAAGCCGTTCAACAGCGAGGAAAAATGCAACTCTGTAAGAGTTTACTGAATGGGCTTACTTTGCACATGACATAAACCAATAGCAAACTGGTTCAATTCAGGCAACTGCCTAAGGATTTCCTCTGTAACCAAATGTACGCCTCTGTGTTGCGGCCGTAAATTTACCTTCCTCTGACACCACGCCGTGGGACTTTGAATAAATCTAGCCGAAGAAGCCATGTTTGACTTGCTATCGCTGTCGCTCGCCAGTTTGAACGTTTATTTATCAATTCGCTATCAATCAGAACGAACTAACACTACTAAAACACTTTCGAATCGCAGAAAAACCCATTATTATCATGAGCAAATCATGGGAGAATTGTATAAATCAGTTCCAATAAAAATAAAAAAAGGTTACGAGGTTCTAACTGCAATACCAGCTATCAGCAATCAGCAGTTCTTTTCTGACAAATCTGACACTAATGACAGATCGGCTAAGTTCGACTTGGCAAAACCGGGTGTAACCACAGACCTCGTTCGAGGTTTGTGACAATATGGGTGGAACTCGTTACGTCTTTACTGTCAAAGGCACAGAACAAATGTAGAGAAAAATGTTTAGTGATGACCACAGAATGACACACCAATGGTGACACAAAACGTACAGTTCATGATTCTGGAGTTGAATTCGAGATGTTCAAATTTAAATTTATGACTAGTGTTTTTTTGATGAGATTGACCAAAAAACAGTTGAGAGAACTTAAATTTACAGTTCGATTCAGTTCTGATATTGGTTGATTGAAATTTTTTTATAAAAAAAACAATCAATTTTGCCAAAAAATACTTTCATTATTCGGATATATTTCATATCTTCGTGTGATTGATGTTATTAGTGATTTGCTTATGTACTTCTATTTTACAGTAAAGTCCAACAATGTATTCGTGTTTCAGCTCAGCACCACAAGTGAAACCTGGGGTAGGTGTTCACTCACGAATGCTCTGTTTTTGGGTTTTGTCTAATTGCAATTCACGGAAAACTACAGGGAGAAAAAATAGAAGTACTTTTTTCGGCGGTCCTAGGGTGTCTTGTTAATCATTGAGGGCCATGTTTCTCGTTCTATCTCATCTATTTTAATTAGTTAACAAAAAAAAAAAGGTTAGATGTTTGTTTCCAATAGAAATATTTATACGTTTTATATCCTATCTTGTGAACCTGAAAGTTTTCGAATTTGATTAAATGTTATCACAGCATAGTTAACAACAAAATATATGTGATTGTTATGAATGTAGTTATATTGTATTATAGATTTTCAGCTGAATTGAGTCAGTTATTGTATAGTTTTGATATTTGTATTATCTCAATCTTACTTTGTTTATTGTTACTTTGTTTATTGTTAATAATGTATTTTGTTATAAATTTATACATGGATTCATTCATTGTATTATGTTTTGATATAGTATTTACTTAATAATCATTTATTGTAGAATTATAACTTTGTATTGTGAATATTAGGATTATTCCTATTCAATAAAGACTACTTACTTACTTACAATCAGCATGGACACTTGGCCATGCTGCCTTTGACGTGGAAAAGTATCTAGACGCCATTTTGAGAAGTGACGATACGAGGGCAGGACTCGCGAAATGGTTTTGGACAGGTTCGCACTCAAACTTTTTTATATCCAAAATGCTCATATAATTTTGATATATCTTACGGAATGGACCCAAATTCAATTGATATAATAATTCTTGTGCAGACATTCTATCTGGTTACATGATTTATTCAAAAAATGTCAAAACAGCCGAATTCTTTATAAAATCACCAGTAGGAATAAAATGGTTCAATCAACTGGAATACGAAGGAGAAATTGTCCAGCAATCAACTTTTTGGTATAAACTTTATGATCTACCTCTCTTAAAATAAATGTGATTTTGTATATTAGGTACTAATTAACCTTTCTGTTGAATTGCTTGTTCTTCATTATAAGAATTGACATTCTCCTTGATTAATTAATTAAAATTTTTGAATGAAATCCCATATTGTTGATTGGCAAATATATTATCGGTGTACGTTACAAATGAAATTTCTTTAATTGATGAAATAGAAAGCCATACACATGGGGTCTATAAATTTGTAAATGGCTTTGAAAAATATATTTCTCTCACAGCACCTCCTGCGAAAAGCATTATTTGAGACATTATATCCTAAAGGAATTAAGACAATGAAGAAATTATGTTAATTGGTTTCAAAGCTTGTTTGTGTACAAACATCACTCACATTGTTTTTATCATCAATGCTTTTTGCTATAAGGGATTCCAGTGTTTGAATTTTTTTATTTAAGTTCCTTATCTCTTGTTCTTTTTCTTTAATCATAGCATTGAGTTCTGATTCCATATCGACTGATTCATCAAAAAATGTTTTTAATTCTAACTGTAATTTGCTAATATGTTTATCTTTATCATCATTGTCCTTTGCAAGTTCATGTAAATTTTTGATACACATTTCATGCGTGCATTTTATGCGTGCTTTCGTCAACAGTTGTTTCCACTGTAGCATAACATTCCTTGCACATTATTTTGTGAGTATTAATAAAGTGCACGTTTTTCATTCGCTGCAAACAGCTCTTGTGTAGAATGCGGGAACACTTAATGCACACATAGTAGGTAAAATTAGGTTTATTCTTGCAGCACATGAATAAATTATTGTTGTGAAAGCATTAAGTATTTCTACAATAGTAGTGTTGCTGTTAACAAAAATAATAGGTAGGCTCTATGAAAACAGATATCAACTTAGTGGAGAATGTTCTTACCTCTCTTGGTCCTTCGGAAACATGAAAAAACTTATTTTGGATTTTGAACTGTTACTTTTTCAACTATTTACAGCACAAACGTGTTCACCACCTATTAGTTTTTATTTAATTTGTGGTGCTATATGGGATTATTGAATTCCTCAGAAAAACTCTCTGGTTCACTAATACGTGTGCCCCCTCAGCTTAGAGTTTAATTAGTATAGATTCAAGATGGCTAATTACCCTTCTTGGTATAAATTGACCCTCTTGAAATGCCTTAAGACAGATCAAAGTAGAGACAAGGACATATAAATCAACTTTGATAATCCTAGAGATAAAGACATATAAATCAGTCTTGACATTCCTGGTTTGTTTGAAGTTTCTGTCGACCCTTTTCATTTGGAAGGATGTTCATGTGCTCTCACAGGTTAGATTGTTTCATTAAAACTTGTATGCTCTTGATAAATTTGATCTGTTACTTTCATTTGCATTTTTGCAAATTCTGTTCCGATAAATAGTTCATTAGTAAATAATTGGTGCTGAGTGCAAAGTATAAATGAAAAGTTTGAGGCTAGGAAAAGGGATACAGGAAAAATATATAAGAAATATTTTCATGGTAATATCTTTATTGTGTACTTATTATATACATATCACTGTCGAATGCACCATTTGGATTCAGTTCTCAGTTTCACCTTCGTTCAGTTATGAGTAAGGATCTCTCAAAACGTTCTCAATACCCGAACCTGTTTTTCACCTAAGTAACAGTTTGTTGCGCGACTCGAAGAAAAAAAAGAAAAAAAAATTTACGAATACTTTTCAAAACAAAATAACAAAACTGTCACTTTCGAAAGAGTTAACTTTTTGAATTGGGCATATTCCCTCTCATCCTTTGAAAAACTATTCCCGTACATTGAGCCCTCTGGGCAAAATCAGCTAAAAAAATATACCGATTCAAGAACTTCGTTGATGTCGAATGTTCCTCTATTTGGTAAGTTTCGAAGGCATTTATTCAGTTTCTTTTTCGCTATTTCCTTTGCATTTCTTTTTTCCTCAGCATCCCTAAAAAAGTCGAATTATTTGAAGTGAAATTCGCTATACAATCAAAAGTTTCTCACCTTTCGTTCAAACTATATTTTTCGTATAGGAATTCCGATAAATTTTCCAGAATCGGATGGGAATGCAACCGAACGAACTGTTCTCGGCATATCTGAAAGGAAAATTATTATCCTCATGTACTAGTTAGTGAATATGAGTTTATTATCTCAGCAAATAATCGTTTTTACACTAGATGATTATGTGCATTTCCTTAGTTCGGACCTGACATGTATAAGTAATTTTTCATAAAGAAGGTTTTTAGGCTACCAATTTTTCTGTAACTCGCCACTAGATGGCGCTGTAGAACAATTTTTTTGAAAGCACTGTTCTATAACGCTGCGCACGCCTAACTAATATGATATAAATTGATTTGAAATACCTGAAAGAATCTGTAAGAAATTAAAAAAGAGGTTAGCTGAGAAATAACAATTATTTTAAGCAGAAAACTGAAAATACAATGAAATAAAATACAAGCAACAACCAAAAAATCAAAAAGACAATTAAACTATTGACATGAGATGACTACCCAAAATCCTCAAGAGAGATGTTCTGCTCAGACCGATTATTAGCTCCAGAGATTCAGCCACTCGGAACTTGTCCAGATTTATACTACCAATAATTAAACCACTACAAGTTAAAACATCATCCTTTGTGAAAAATTCAAGGCATTTTGTTGAACTACTGGGGGCAATCGAAGTCAAAAAGCAAGATCAACTGATCAGTTTCGACGTGGAAAACCTCTACACCAACGTCTCTATCGAAGAAGCACATACAATAACTAGAGGCCAGAATCATTTATATGTAAACAGGCAGAATAGAATAGAATAGAATATCCTTTATTCGCCATAAAAAAATACAATAGTATTATAAGGTTTTGTCAAATATCATATACCATAAGAATATCATAAAAACACTAAATGAATAAATAAAAAATAAACAAATAAGGAAATGAGATGTGAACAATTTCAATATAAATATCACTGTCTACGTATATTGTAAATTCAAAATATTAGTTGGTGTTGAAGTCAAATGATAAAAATTCGTCGATACTATAAAAAGCGTTTTCCAGGCAGATATTCTTCATATAATTTGTAAACGAGGCTGTATTTAAGTTTTTTATATCTTCTGGTAGTTTGTTAAATAAAATAGGACCATAATAATTTTTCGAAAAACGGCAGTGATTTAGTCTTGTAAATTCAATTTTAATCTGTTGTGCTTGTCTGGTGTTATGTGAATGATAATCGTTTTGATTCAGGTATAAGTGAGGATTTTTTTTTACATAATTTATACATGAATAGACGTAAAGAGAAGGTAATGTAAATAATTTATTATTAATAAATGTTGTTTTAACGTCTTCTTGATATCCCAGTTTGAAGATAACTCGCAAAACTTTTCTTTGCAGTCCAAACACTCTTTTTGCATGAGGCGAGTGCCCCCAGAGTACTAGACCATAAGATACATGGGACATAAAAAGTGAATGATAAGCAGTGATAATGGTTTCAATAGATGAGATGCCCATTAAACTTCTTATAATATAAATGCTCGTTGCCAATTTTTTGCAAATAAAATCTACATGTTTTTCCCAAGAGAGCTTTGGATCCATTTGGAATCCAAGAAATTTAATCGATT